GGAGTCTGCAGAACTTCCGAAAAATAATCAAACTGAAAAATTTCCGGAGATTTTTGCCTTTTAAAATTTCCTGATGTTATTGTCTTTATGATATGGGAGCAATCAAGACGGATAAGGAGTAACCACTTACTTCAGATCAAATTAGAAAGAATATAAGTGAATTAAAAAGAAAGCTCGAAAAAGACACTTTATCACTTTATCAACATTTATATTCTGGTGTGAATAAAATCTCGGTTCAAGAATTAACCTGGAAAGATTCTTTAGCCAATCAAATTATTAGAGATAATTCAGATCTTATTCAGAAATTATCAGAAAATTTAAAAAAAAGTATTTATGGTATATATGTGTCTTGGTGTGAACCAACTTCCAGCTAACACAAACTCCGTTATTAATACTAATATTTGTTTTTAATAGAAACCGATCAGATCAATGAAACCTGTTCCTATACCAAGAATCGAAGATATGTGTAGAAGGTTTGTATCAAATTTTTTATCTGAGAATTTATCAAGTTTATCATATGAGTTATCTCATACAAAAGAGTGGAAAGAGAGTGAGGATAAACTTGAAGAAATCACGTTAAAAATTTTGGAAACGTTGAGATCTGTTTGGTGCAATCCGGCTTTTCGTTCTGAATTCGTTGGTACAATGAATGAAGGTACATATGTAAATAATATAATTGTGCCATTAATCAATGCCTGCTTATCTAATAATCATTTTGGAGAGTCAGCATTTATTACCACGTAAGTTATAGTAAGAATAATATATCATCTTCCAGAAAAACATATTGTTAATTTATAACGAAGTTAGTGTCTTTGACACATATTTTTAGGTTTGAATGGCAGAGTATAGCAAGTGCTGATAGAAGAGGAGATGGGAGAGTAGGAAGACGACCTGATATCATGTTTATAAGTAAAGAAGACGATAAATATTATGAATTAATGTATGCAGAATGTTCCAGGATTATCTGTACGAAACAAAAAGAAGAAGATGATGATATAAAATTATGGCGTGAATGCAACGATGGATTATACTGGGTGCAAAAAAGTCGTAGGTTGAAAAAAGAACAATTTGGTATAATTGGGATCCAAGTAGCTGGATGTAGATTGAGTTTGAATGTCCTTATTAGAGACGAGCTTGAAGTTCACTGATATTACAAATTACATGAAACAGAAATCCCTATTCGATATTCTAACGATCCTTCCATTTTAGCCGATTTTATATATACTTTATTATTATTCCGCAATACATTAATAGTTAATATGTCTCTATTACGCTGTGCACATGATCGCAGGTCAAATAGAAATTTAGATAGTTCGACAGTAACATCCCCTCCTCCTAATTCCTAATTAGATAGATTTTACCATGTATTTTTATGTATCTTTGACACTAGCTCCGCTATTAATAAAGATTTTTGATCTTTCAAAGAAAGGAGACTTTGTCTCTTAGAGGAACGTACAACGTATCATGTGTTATTTTTTGTGTAATGTATAACAATATTTTTTCCGGAATAATTTTCCGAGACCGAACAATTGGAATTAGGTCCCAGAAATTTTTCTTGAAACGAATTTTTCTGCGTATAAAATGGTTAGAAGATTAAGATCAGGTGCGACACACTTATCACCCGAAGCAATTAGTGATATTATTACTGTCAAGGATACAGCAAATGTATTACCGATTCTAGCTATAAAATATGTGTCTTGACACTAGCTCCGCTATAATATATCATATGCACGAATTCGTGAAATATGGGAATTCGCTATTGCGATAAATAATTAATATGTAGATATCCGATAGTTAATAATATACAGTAATAGGCGCAGTAACGACGTGTTTCGGCGACGGGCCGTCGCTAAAAGTTTGTCATGTGTTTGCTTATACATAAGGTTATTGTGTAATGTACATGAAAATTATCTATTTGTTTACTCTCTCCTTACTATGAGCCAACAAAAGAAAAAACCGTATGGTTTCAATGGCAAGTACACGTTTTCTGAAACTGACGCGACTTCGCACATTCACTTACCAATACAATATCAAATTTTCAGTCTTTAAGTCATATTTCGCGTGGGCATCAGAACGCGACGTTGTCCCGTCTTTGTCAGAATTTGTTCAGTTGAATACTGACTTCGTAGCCAGATCATCTACTCAAACGAGTGACCTTCAGGGACTGGAGGGTGCATGGGCAAAGCGTTTCGATTTAACTGCAAAAATATTGATACTAAGGAAAGTATATCTCAATCAATTTCTCCGTGTAGGGCATTCGCGTCAGGTTATCATCCTGATTGCGGGTAGTTAGGCAGTTATTTGGTAAAAATATCGCCTTCGTCCTAGTAATGTTGTCGGGAGCTTCAATCGGGTTTACTGATTGCGGTTTTACATTCCCAACATTGCGAACATAGTAGTGTTGTCGGGGGCTTCAGTCTGGGTTTACTGGCTGCGGTTTTACTACTCCCAACACTTTACATCTCTCATCCCCATCATTGTGCATTCCTCATTCCTATCACTATGCATCTTGTCTTCTGCCTTGATAAGTCTAATAGTTTTCAAAATTATGAAATACAGGTGGATATTGACAATGCCGATTGGTCTTGTATCATCGAAAAATGGCATATGGTAGGTTACGAAACCTATGGACTTTTTCTTTTGATCAACCTCGTTGTAATTTAACATGCGATATATGTCAGATCCAAATTTCAGAAAATCGCCGCGAAAAAACCTACACTATGTATTCAAACGAGAATGAATACATCGGGAATAAGTTGTTGGAAGATCAGAAAAAATCGGAACTGAACACTCGCCTTACAAAACGATTTTTGGAGTGTGCGAAAGGAAGCCCTCCAAAACGCGTGGCAAAGGTTAGTACTGTGGATTTGAACCCATTGAGAATTTATTTGTTTTAATTTTACAAATTTTGGTTCTAGGAAGCAATAAACGATTCTCCCAACAATCCTTTTACTGTATCTGGAATACCTGGTGAGAGTAACTCGAATGATTCTGGAACACCCGATGAAAGTAATTCAGATAAATCCTATCATCCCAGTTCAGACGAAGCAGATGATGCTTCTTATATTGAATCGAAAAAAAGGGAAGGCCAATCATAGTTATGATTGGTTCACTGGACCAGGCATTAAGAAGTCTGAATTAAGTGAGGGCGCGAAAAAGGTAATATTTAAACTTTTATTTAAATTTATTCAGAAGAGAGATCTTAATTTACTCTTCTTTTTTACACAGTGGGTTATCGGCACGCTTGACGTTTCGAATTTATTGTTAGAATATCGGGATATGTCCATCCAAAAGGCATCTGATAATAAAATTGATGAGATTGCCGAAATACTGTAAGTTCTAGACTTCCAAATCTTTTATATGAATTCGATTTTGTGTCCTTTTTAATAATGCTTTCCCATGATTGTTATAGTTCCTTGAATCATATATTTTTGTTTGAACAAAATGTATCAAGTGGAATTTCTTTAATGATCGAACCAGAATCATTAAAAATTATTTCCGATAACATTAAAAATGAATTTACACCCTATCAAATGTCTGATGATGATATTCTGCGATGTTATAAAATGGCAAAGGTACGATTTTTAATATCTTAATATGGTGATCATTCATTGCAATTAATAACGTGTTTATTAAATAGACCGCAAGTGAAGATTTTGAAAAATGCAAGTCGTTATTAAGAAAATGGCAAAAAGAACTAGATGATGATCAAGAAGATCTAATTCTAGAAATATTTGAATCAATGCAAGTATTTGCAAAGATTGAAAATGTTATATCGCCACTTATTTTAACATAAATTATTTTTTATTATATTATAGTATTAATAATTTTAACCCGGAAGTATATAGACAAGGATTAAAAGAGGACACTTTTGTTCACGAAGTATTTGAACCCGTGATTAAAACTTTTTTCCGCAACATTAATTTTAAATGTGAATGGTAATTTTTTAACACAATTCTTTATCTTAAATTGTAATTATAATGATAAAAATATGTTATTGAATTATTTTCAGGTCAACTGACGTTCTGGAGGCATCCGCACATCGGAAGCGTAAATTTGACCCTTCATTACAGGGAAGAAAAGCTGATTTTTCAGTATATATGCCCATTAAAGGTAATAAATTTTATTTGCTTGTTTCGGAAATAAAGTCCGCCGATTTTATGTTATCAAATAAAAACAAAATTTCCTTGGAAGACTGTGATCTTGTGAAACTAGGCAACGAAATGAAGGATATATTGGATAAATGTATTGATAATGGAGTTGGAAATAAAAATATGACTATATGCGGTTTATTAGTAGAAGGCAAATATGTACATTTATATTTTTCTTAAAATAATGATCATATTAACGTACATAATCTAATTTGCATTTTCTTTCATTCTTGTAAAAAAATAGGTTTCCAATGCCGGCTATTTGCCATGGATTTAAAATACGAAGCAATATACCGGATGATCCTTTTAGGAAAATTCTATCTCCCTCGGGATAATTCGGATCTTGGCGTCCTTCCCACTTCAATCGAACGCCTTATGCAAATAAAAGTTAGTATAGAATTTATAAATATTATTAGATTTTATTGGATTCTATTTACAATCTAATTTTGTCTTTTCTAAAAAGACTATAATGACCTGTTCCACCGAAATCTGCAGAAAAGATATTCAAAACCTATCTAAACGTAAAACAAGTCAAAGAAATGTGATTTTACATAATGAAATGACGCGACCATCTTTCCATACGCCAATAAAGGTTCCCCAGAGGAATTATTATCTCTTAATTACATTCATAGTGTTTTTCCGTATAAAATTAAATCTGATATAGATTTTTAATTTACTTTTTCACTCACCACATGTAATCAATTATATTAATGAATTAAAAAATAAATTGGCAGTATTCATGTGATTTTGACGTTGAAACTTTTGCTTCATTATACATTTTAAATAAATACAATCTATTACTAAAACATGCAATCCGAGATTGATTCATTAAAAAAACGAATTTCCGAGCTTGAAGTTGAAAAGGTCGAGCTTGAAGCCAAGAATGCCGAGCTTTTAAAACAGGTTATGGAAGAAAGCACCAAACGCGAAGCTGAGAATGTTGAGCTCAAAGCCAGGATCGCCAAATTGGAACAGACCGCAGAAGAAAATACTGAGCTTAAAGATAGAATCACGAAATTGGAACAGAAACAGATCCAGGTTATTACTAATGAAC